AGGGTTTCCTTCAGGAAAATGGAGCCTGCAGAGCAAGGACTTCTAGGGGGAGGATGGGCTGAGAGTCATACTGTTCTGAAACCTTCAATAATCCCATGAAGGAATTATAAATAACGTGCTCGGAGGCCTGCATTTTTCTGTAAAATGTTCCCAAGAACCGCCTCACGTGGTCACCTGCTATGCAGTGACAGGTACCCTAGAGGCTGCCTGGCTCCAAAGCGGAAAATGTCTCCGTTATCCAGGAGCCCTCTGGGACCCCCGCAGGCCGGGACGGAGACTGAGGTGTCTTGTGACCCCTCGCAAGTTGCCAGCAGGGGAAACACCATTGACTCTGTGACCCAATGGACTGTAGCCTGCCAGGTTCCTCCGTTCATGGAATTTTCAGGCAAGAATGCTGGAGCGGGTTGCCATTTCCTTCTCCAGGAGATCTTCACACACAATTCACTCCCTTCTACAGTCTCTCCTCAGACGTGGGCTTGGGGGCTAGAGGACACGACCCAGGGTCCTGCTCAGCGATGACCCCTCTAGATTCAAGTCCACGCTCCTACACAGGTGGACGGGGAGACAGAGGAGGAAGCTGGACTCTGGAGCTCTGCACGCTGCCCTGTCTGTCCTGTCCTGTGGCAGAGTGGCCTAGGGGTGGCCTCAGGAGCCCAGAACTCAGCCCCCGGATAGGCCTGGAGCTGGCAGGGGCACTGGGAAATTGCTCTTTTTATTGTACTGAGGGAAAGTGGGTTCTTCAAGCCAGTTTAGGGGAGGGGTGAGGTGCCCTGAGGGCTTCCCAGGTGGCACTAGTGGTAAAGAACCCACCTGCCCGTGCAGGAGACATAAGAGACACGAGTTCGATCCCTAGGTCGGAAAGAGCCCCTGGAGGAGGGCGTGGCAACCCCCCACTCCAGTATTCATGCTTGGAGAATCCCATGGACAGAGGAGCCTGGTGAGCTATGGTCCATAGGGTCGCAAAGAGTCGGACACAACTGAAGTGACTTAGCACGCACACGGTGCCTTGAAGACGAGAGGCAGCGAAAGGGGCCCTCCAGCAACCAGCCCTTCGGTGAGGTCTCTGACTCCACCTGCTCCCTGGGGAGGGAAGGATTCAGGGTGCTGCCCAACATGGGGGTACAGGGGTGGGGACGTGAGGAGGAACCCACCCCCCTTGAGAACACTGCAGAGGTATTTGCTCATGGAGGACACTGGGATTCCTAGCATGTCTGGAACAGGGGCTCTAGCCATTTAAAAACATTGCTTCTAGGGCTCCTCACGGGCTGGGGAGCTTGGGGTCCCTGGGGTGCTGGACATCTGGGTCTGCATACAAGCAACCACACAGGTGTCAGAAACTTGAATGTGGGCTCCACTGAACTTGTTGGAAAGGCCTGGGGGGCAGGGCTGCTTGGGGACACCTCGATGGCTCTGAGGACTCAGCTTGGGGCTCTCACTGCTGGGGCTGCAGCTGTGCAGTCTTGGGGTAGCGGAGGGGCCCACATCTGGCCAGCACAGGTGGGCCCACCCCCTCATCCACAGCCCCGTGGTCACCGGTGATGCCCCTGGGCCTGGAGAGGGTGAGGCACTGGCCAAGGTCAGGCAGGAGTGACCCCCGGGGCTCAAGGCTGGGCCTCAAAGCTGTGGAGGGCAGAACCGTGAGGCCTGACACATGAGGGCACACAGGTGGACGCCTGGAAGCCTCAGCGCAGTGGTAAACCATCCCACGGCTCCTTTATTTCCCTGCTGTTACATGCTTAGTCGCAGATTGCTTTCTGTCATCCCAATGAGCTCTGCTCAGAGGATCCCTGCTGTGGGCCAAGCCGTCCTCCTCCTCGGGGAAGGATGGAGCCAGGCTTGCGACAAGCTGCCCCGCAGCGACTTCTAGAATCACTGCACAACCGGAAGGACCTTCACCACGGCACTTGAGCCCCTCAGCCAACACAAGGGAAACTGAGGCCAAGTGGGCAGCTGTGCTGAGCTGGGTCAGCATCACGGCCAGTGGATCCTCAGCTGGACTGCAGGCACAGGGCCTGCTGGACAGTGAAGCAGCTGCCTCTATGCTGTGTGCTCGGTTTCCTAACAGAACTCATCGAGGGGAGATGCTGAGGGTGGGAGGGACATCCGGAGCTCAAGAGGACCCAGCAACCAAAACGCGTCCATCAGCCGACATGAGCTGCATGACCCTGGGCAGGGCACGTGACTCCCCTCAGTTTCCCTGTCTGTAAAAGGGGCTGCCTCTGTCCTCCATCCACTTCACTGGGTTGCAATGAGGATGCTCTCAGGATCTGTTTGGAAAAGCAGTCTGGGAACCAATGGGTGACACCCATGTCACGACTGTGTCCTACAGGGCCACCCTGTAGCTCTGAGGTCCTTGGCTGTCTAAGTTTCATGGTCCCTAAGGGCTAGGGTGGGGGTGGGGGGTGGGCTTCCCAATGAAGGAGATGTAAGAGCCATGGGTTCGATCCCTGGGTCAGGAAGATCCCCTGAAGGAAGGCATGGCAACCCACTCCAGTATTCTTGCCTGGAGAATTCCATGGATAGAGGAGCCTGGCGGGCTACAATCCATGGGGTCGCAGTCAGACATGCCTGAAGCAGCTTAGCACAAGGGCTGGGATACTGTCCTTGGGATGCCCTTGGCTTGCGATCCCTCTGACCACTGGTCTCCCTCTGTCCTCCCGGAAAGGTGCAAGGAGCCTGCAGCCCTAGGTAGCAGTGATGTCATCACTGTGAGCCCAGCAGGAATCCATCAGGATGAGGGGGTCTTCAGTGGCCTCATGGCCTGTTGTCCACAACCGTGCCAGAAGGGTGGGTGGTCCCCACTGGGACACAAGTGGGCATGAGGGCCCTGGCCAGCAGCTAAGACTCTCAGGCTTCCCAGCTTCCAGCTCAAAACTAGCCTGGAGGCCAGGAACCCCGTGTCCTATCCCAGGGGCCCACCTTCCCCTACAAGCCCAACCCCACTGGCTCCCTCAGCTGGGTACAGATGGGAAGGGGAGGAACTTGGCCCCAGGAGTACCTGGGCTTCATGGCACTCCCTGTTGGAGTCTCACCCCACTGGCCCCACCTAGCCCCAAAGGCCTCCCCTGTGCCGGCTGGGAGACAGGAAGGATCTGTCTGGGGTGGAGCTGGGCCACTCTGGGAGCTGGGAGCGGGGCAAGAGGGGGTGCCTGAGGATCTAGTTTCCAACCAGGATCCCAGACCAGAGGGAGGGGGGTGAGGCATGGGACCAGGAGGTGGGGGGCAGGTCGAGACATGGAGCTAGACAGTCTTTCTGCTCTCATTCCCCAAAGGACATGGTATGTACATGCCCAACCCAGGGGGAAAGAGGCTTCCAGAGGAAACCAAGGAAGATCCATAAACACAGCACCTCTAAGGATCCCTGAATATGAGGGCCCCCTCACCACCATCACCACCCTCACCACCCCGCCAGGCAGCTCCCAGCAGGGCTCTGTGCCCTGGACTGATGCCTGCAGCCTGTGTGTGTGAAGAGCCCTGCCTCTTAGGGGCTCGGCCACTCCCCCTTCTATGGGGTCCCCTCTTCATTCCTGCCTCTCCTCTGTGGACCCCCCTGCACCCTCCTCTGTGGCTCAGTCTGAGTGGCGGGTGTGCCTTCTGTCTTCCCCTCCCCGAGGCTGCGACATCCAAGGCTCAGATAACAGAGACTTTCTGAGCACCTCTCGAAGCTGAGCGGCGGACGGACATTCTCTGAGCATAAAGACAGGAGCTGGACCAGCAAGAGGTTCACCTCTGCAGTGGGAGACAGGTTAGGCCACATGCACGGGGCAGGGCCCCAGGAGCGGCTGCCCTCTCTAGGCCACCCCTGATGTAACAGAAACAGGCCTGGAAGAGGAAGGGTGTCCAGCCTCATCACCGCAGACGGCTGGGACCCCTCAGAGGGGCTCCTCCCTCCCCTTGCCCTCCTGTCCAAGACAGCACGTCTCCTCCCCTCCCCCCATGGCCACATCTGGGCCCCCCCGCCCCCGTCCCTGTCCCCCACCACTCCCTTCCTTCTCTTTGCCCAGGAGCTCCTGCCCCAGGCTGGAGAGGACGCTTTCAGGTCACGTGTCATGTCCTCTTTCTCCAAGAAGATGAGCCAAAGCCTGGCCTAGGCTCCATGACTGGTTGGGGACACTGCAGAAACTCCTGCACTGGTAAGCGGGGCACCACTCTGGACACCCAGGAGAAGTCAGGTCCCAGAGTCATGCTGGGGTAGAGGTCACTGGGCATGGCATTCTGGTCCCCACAAGGCTGGTCCAGGGGCCTCGGCAAGACTTTTGAGGTGGGGGAGTGGGGGCAGACTGGGTGAAAGTGTAAAAGTGAAAGTGAAAGTTGCTCAATTGTGTCCGACTCTTTGCAACCCCATGGACTATACAATCCATGGAATTCTCTAGGCCAGAATACTGGAGTGGGCAGCCCTTCCCTTCTCCAGGAGATCTTCCCAACCCAGGGATCGAACCCAGGTCTCCTGCATTGCAGGCAAATTCTTTACCAACTGAGCTTTCAGGGAAGCCCCAGAGTGGGTGGTTGGTGAGAAAGACAAGAGCTGGGGAGGTGGGACAGAGTCGGCCCAGCTGAGACCACCAGGAGGGGACAAGAAGGTCTTCTTTAGGTCCCATTCCGTTAAGGTAAGGAGTTCATCCAGCCCCACCTGCTCGGGGGCCCCTAAGGAGGCCGAGGCGACAGGAGAGCAGCTTTATTGACCAGACTCAGCAGCAAGAACACAGCGAAGGTGGGGGGCCTGGACAGCGCAGACTGGTGGAGGCTCTGGCTCCCAAAAGCCCAGTCTGCAGACCTTAGAGTCTCTGCCCCACGCCCTCCTGGAGCCCAGCCTCAGTCCTGCTCTGGGTCTCTCCTGGAGTGGGAGACAGTGGGGCGGTGCGGAGTCCCAGAAGGGCCGGGGAGGTGAGGGTGGTGGGGGGGGCGCTCGAGTGGACCAGAGCCGGGTCCATGCCTGCCCCAGCAGCTGGCGGGAGGCGGTTCGTGCAGGGAGGGAGGGGGGCGCAGGTGGGCGGCCAGGCTCACCACACAGAGCACTTGTGGGCAGGGTTCATGGGCGAGTCCTTGGGGCAGTGGAAGGCCCGGCCGAACTCCTCGAACTGGGACACGCTGCCCAGCACCCTAGGGAGAGACCCACAGAGTGTGGGTCCCAGGGGCCACCAGACCCCAGCTCTCCTTTCCCACCCCACCCGCGCCACCCCCAGCCCACCCTCCCGACACAAGGAGGGGATGAGGCCCAGGCAGGCAGGGGGGCAGACCTGTAGTGCTCGGGTGCGTGCTTGTCGGTCAACACCTGCAGGTAGATGGACTGCGACCGCCGCTTGATGCACCAGTTCTGGGGCCAGATGGGGGGAGAGGAGCAGCAGGGATGTGAGGCCAGGGGTCCACGGACCAGCCTGTACAACCACTCCTTCCGCACACTAGGTCCTCATTCCCCATCAGAGCCCGGGGCTGGGGGGGTGGGCATTGCCTCTGAGGAGTGGCCCGTGGGAGAAAGGCTGGAAGCTGACCCCACCCCACTGGCCCCCACCCGGCCCACCTGGGCAAAGGCAATGAAGAAGAGCTGGTTGTGCGTATACTTGAGCCGGTGCAGCGGGTGCTCAGGGCCGTGCTCGCGCACCCACTTCTGATATGCCTGGGGGTGCAGAGCATGGAACTGGGGTGCCTGTGCGGGGCACTCAGCCAGCCGGTCTCCCACCCCAGCTCTACACACCGCCCACCAGGCTGAGCCCTCGGGTCCCTAACTTCTTCCCTCTCCAGAAGGCTAACCCCAGGCAGGGGCCACCTCCTCCAGGCAACCCTCTTTGCTTTCCCAGAAGTCAAGGGACTTAGGAGGCCCTCTCCCCAGCACAGCACCTTCCCCTCCAAGACCAACAGGACAGGGTGGGGGGGGTGACGAGGTCTCTAGCCCAGTCCTCAAGGCCCCCCAGCCCTCCCCGCTGGGGTGGAGGGCATGGCAGGGGCGGCTCACATAGTAGGCTAGCTTGAGGCCGCCCATGTCCGCAATGTTCTCTCCGAGGGTGTGCTTCCCATTCACCTGGGAGGAAGCGAAGAGGCTGGAGGCTGCCCAGGCCTTCTGGCCTCCTTAAGGTCTGGCCTCCCTGGGTGCTGCCCTTGCCCCACCTTCCCTTTCCCAGAAAGTCAGGGTAGGGCCCCCACACCTTGTGCCCCACGTGTGTGTGAGTCTGTGTGAACTCACGTACGCGCCCAAGTCAGTGTGCACCTGGACCCTGGTGGGCGTGTAGGGACCGTTGTCCCGGGTTTGTGCAGGGCCAGGAGTGTGCCAAGGGGTGTGCATGCGCCTCGTCTGTGCTGGCCAGGCAGGCCCGCCTGAGGGACCCCAGGGACATCGAGGTGGGGTCTTACCCGCTGGTTGTAGACGGTGAAGTTGTCGTAGAGGTGGACAATGCACTCGGCCTTGCGCAGGAAGCGGCTGTAGGAGGCCTCGGTCCACCAGTGCAGCAGGTTGCCCGAACGGTCATAGTGCCCTCCTGTGGGCAGCAGGCAGGACAGGCTGAGGCTCCCTGTCTATTCACCCGCCAGCCGGCAGGCAGAGGAGGGGGCTATGGGGCCTCAATTAGTTCTCACCACCCTGCCTCCCCCCCGCCCCGGTGCCTGTCCCCCACCCCCTCAGGCTGCCTGCAGGCCTCACCCCAGTCATCGTAGCCATGGGTCAGCTCATGACCGATGATGGTGCCGATGCCCCCGTAGTTCAGAGACCTGGGCCGGGGCAGCAGCGTCAGGCCCCAGCCTCGCCCGGCCTCTGAGAGCCCCACTGGGCTGCTGCCCTGACGGCCTCAGGAGGCCCCGGCCAGGCCACGAGGTAGCCCAGGAAGGCCAATGTCTCCACTGTCCCAGGACTCTCATGCCTCAGCTTCCTTGTGGGGCATGTGAAAGGGGCCAGCGATACCTGCAAGCTCTTTTAGGAATAACATCTAACAGATTTCGGCAGTCGAGGGGGTGGGTGGAAACGGGGGTGGAGGGAAACTGAGGCACCCCATATGGGATCTAGCCTTTTTCCTAGATCTTTTTCCTTTAATATCTTTTTCCTAGATTGCTTCACTTTTGAAATGCCCAAAGAAGCCTCAACCCAAGTAAAAAGGGACTCCGGATATTTAAAAGGAAAAAAAAAAAAAACAACCCTACACCTTTTTCTAAATAACCAATGAAATGGGATCATGGGGACCCAGGGTTGCAACTGTCAAGACTCCTGTGCCCAGCCTGAGCCTCGGGCAGTCTGAGCAGTTCCCTGCCCACCCCGCAGACAAGGCCATGGCCAGGACTCTGGCTCACACCAGGCCCCATACTCACTGCGGAAAGTCAGGGTCATACAGTGTTGGCTGCAGGATTCCAGCGGGGAACACTGCCAAGAGGGCGTGGTCAGCAGGAGACCCGCCCACCTCCAGGCCCTGCCCACCCCCAAACCACACCCCCACCCCGTCCCGACACGCCCCCTTACCCATCTGGTTCTTGTTGGGTAGATAGTAGGCATTGAGTGCCTGTGGGGGGAGCAGCCACCTGTGGAGGGAGGCTGGGGTCAGCTGGGGGAACCCACACTCCGTCCCCTACCACCCCCGACCTCCTAGCCTCTTCCTCCTTAAAGGATGGCCTGATGTCCCAGCCTACTGCTATGTCCTGGGCCTCTCCCAGGCGGACCCCACACCCTATACAGGCCCAGTCCCCCCTCCCCATGCCAGCATGTCTGTGAGGCAGTGTGCCCTCCTCCAGGCATTGATAAGAAACACTGTCCCCATGGCACCCCGTGGCACCCCTGACCCCTGCTCCAGGCCAGGTACCCACGTGGACTTGTCCACCTCCTGCCGGATCTTCTTGACTGAGAGCTGGATGCTGAAGCGGATACTGTTCAAGATGTTCTTGAAGTAGGTCTTCTCGTGGACCTCAAACTGCACAGGGGATGGGCAGCCCTCAGCGGCAGGCCAGGGGGCAGGGCCAGACCAGCACCCGGCAGGTCCCGTGCCCTCCCAGCATCCATCAGCTGAGGGCTCTGGCTCCTTCCCTGCGGTGGTGGTTGGTCTCCATGGGGGTCTTGGCCATAGGCCTGGAGAAGCGTGGCTGGTTAGGGCAGGGGCAGCGGGCAGGCCCACCTCATACTCCTTGTCCACGGCCTCGGGTTTCAGCAGGAAGTCCGGGTAGCCCACCATCACCATCATGTACTGAAGCTGTAAGTGAGAGGGTCAGTGGTGGGCTGGGGCCTCAGGAGATAGCCCCCTAACCCCCCAAGGGAGAAAGCTCCAGGGCCAGTGTAGGAGTAGGGCTCAAGGAACGGGGAGAGGAGGCTGGGTAATGCCAACTCCATAGAGGCATCTTTGTCTCTTTTGTTATCCCAGCACTTAGCATAGAGTAGGCGCTCAATGCGTGTTTATGGAACCAACATATGGGACCAGGATTCCATTTCACCTTGGCCCGCGCGGCCGCCTTGGTTTCAGCATCCATCCAGTCTAGCTCCTCCAGGCGCTGGCCCAAGATATACTTGATGTCTTCTACCAGCTGCTGTACCTGCAGGGCCAGGGGTCAAGGATCAAGGGATCAATCCAGGAGGCCATAGCTCTGGGTCCCCAGCACCTGGAGCAAGGGTTACCCCCCAATCATTCAGCACCACTTCCGAAGCCCAGGACTTGGTGCTTAGCACCAAGGGGAGACCTTGGAGGTAAGAGATTCAGGCCCTGGACCCTGACAGGAAGCTTGGTCTGGAAGGGGCTAACTGCCCCAGCAAAGATCACGTACATTCCTAAGGCCATCCCACTGAGCATGGCAGAGCAGGCCGGGCAGGAGCTTGGTGGGGAGAGCGTCCTGCGGCTGACAAACCAGGTAGGCTTCCTGGGGGAGGAGGCCCAGTGAGGAGCACCCTGGAGGCTCAGAGAGGGCTCAGCCCTCCCTGAGCCCGGTGCCCCTCACTGCAGGGGGGATGTGCGGGCCTCCCCGTGCTCCTCATACTTGGACCACAGTCATGCAAAAGCTTCATCCCCGGCTCAGTACCCACTCCCCCACCCCCCAAGGCCAGGCAGCCTGACCTTGGCCTTGCTGGCAGCCGAGAAGTGCTCGTGTACAAACAGGGCACCAAGCGCCATGCCAAAGTGACGGTTGGCCTGGCCAAGGCAGACACGGGCCAGCTCCTGTGGCTTATCACTGCCCTCCATCTCTCGGGCCAGCTCATGTAGTGCCTCTCGGAACGGCGGGGACAGGTGCTCGCTCAGGACTACCACCACACGCCACACCAGGTAGTTGTGCAGGATCCTAAGGGCCAGGTGAGGCAGGTCCCGACAGGCGCTCCACCCCCAGCTCCCAGCCCGGGGCAGGACCAAGCACCTGCACAGGACTGAGGGTCATTCCAGGTCTTCCCAGCCCCAGTCAGGGAGAAGATACGCCTCGGGCCAGCGAGAAAGCGCTGGGTGCTCCTGGAGCACGGGCCAGCACCATTTTCCACTTGCCATGTGGTGGGAGAGTGGGTGCTTGGGGTGACTGCCTATCTGAGAGCTGGCCTCAAAGGGCCTCGGCTCCTTCCTGAGATGGGGCAGAGGCCAGGGAGGTTTTCCTCCCGGTGGCCTTGGGGGAGCAGAGTAACTGCCACAGCATCCCCTTTTAACTTCAGGCTCACTCAAGTCTTGCCATCCCCACATGAGAAAACTGCAGCCCGGGAAGCTCCCGGCCCTGCCCAGGGTCCCACACAGTAGAGGGGACAGCCAGGTCTGAACCTAGGGATCGGGACTCCTTTTCCAGTGCTCCTCACCTGCCTCCCCAATGCGGACACTGGACAGAAGTGGAGGCAGGGATTCAAAGCTCTCCAAGCAGATAGCTCTGGGATGCAGGGGAGGGACTGGGGGGGGGGACAGGTGGGTGACTGGAAGCCCTACCTGTGGGGGGTGGAGCGGATGAGCTGCGACACCTGCTGCATGTAGTCTGTGGCCAGCAGCACCACCTCCTCATCCTCCGAGAAGTCCTCCTGGAAGATCTGGTCCAGCAGCCACTTCCACCGCAGCTGGGGGGGCCACGGATGGGGACAGTGGGACCAGGTGTGGCAGGGACCACAGAAGACAGGGAGGGGGCAGGGAGAGGCGACCAGAGGTCACAGGAGTCCATGGCCATGGAAGGCCTCAGGGAGGGGACAGCCCGGGGGTCCCAAGATCAGCATCTCCCCGCCACCCGGCAGGGCTGGGTGGCACTCACGTGGGGGGTGATCTTCTGCAGTTGCCCTAGGGTCACCTTGTTGTACACTGAGCTAACGTCTCGCCGGAGGTCATCATACTCGGACACTGTGATCTGGGGATGAAGGGCAGGGTTGACCCAGCCCCGCCCGAGCCTTCCCGCCCCCAGCACGAAGCCGGCGCCTGCTCACGTTGGCCAGCTGCTGCTCCAGCTGCAGGATCTCCCGGGCCTTCTGCTCCACTGACTCGGCACCCAGGAGGCTGAGCAGGCGCTCCATGAACACCCGGTATGCTGCTAGGATCTGCACCAGGAAGGGGCAGGGCAAGGATGCAGGCGGTGCCAGGCCCCGGTCCATGCCTCCCAGAGTCCCAGGGCTTCCCTGGAACCCTATCCCAAGGTCCCACACCTTTTCGCTCTCCTCGTCCTGAGCTAAGTACAAGGTCCTTTCTGGCAGGGTGAGCCCGTCCTGGTCAATCTGGGGAGAGAGATGGGGTTCAGACATCAACACTCTGGGTTCCTGCAAACAGACTGAATCCCCTTCCAAAAGGCAAACGGAGGACTTGCCAGGCATCCACTGTCACAAGCCCCCAGAGCATAAAGACGACAGCGCCTGTCTCAAATCCAGAGCAGCTGGTCTAAGCCCCCAGGACTGATTGACTGGCCTAAACTGGGGACTGAATGGGTATGGCTCCCCGGCCCCCACCCTCCCTACACCCCCCACCCAGGCCCCCGCCACCCGTCCCTGTCTTTCCTTTTGAAATCCTTTCCTTTCCCCACCCTTGAGGGGCACTTTCTCACGCACTGACAGCTGACCCCCGCCCCCCCTCCTCAGGCATTCCAGCCAGCCCCAGCCCGACAGGCCTGTCACCACAGCCCATCAGCACACCCCTCCCGAGCTCTCACCGCCTGCCAGAGGGCTGGGAAATTGCGGCTCCCGCGGCTCCGCTAAACACCGCAATTACTCGAGGGAAATTACTTGCGCCCTCCTCCCGCGCTCTGCCGGTGTGCGCTCCCCTCCATTCCCCTAACCTCCCCCTTCCGCACCGGTCTCCCGGGCGCACGGGGCGCGCGGGGCAGGCGTGCCAGGCCGCGGCACTCCTAGTTCCTAGCCGCTTGTGGGGGTGCCCGTGACGGGGGCTTGCGGGGGTGGCTCACTCACGCGGATGACGTAGCGTGAGGAGTTCCTGTCATCCAGGCTGACTGTGAGCGAGAAGAGCGCGGCGGCGCTGTACACGCCCTGCGCCTTGTACAGCAGCCGGTTGAGGTCCCAGCGCGCCGCCGCCCCCGGGCGCTCCGCCGCGCCGCCCAGGTCCCAGCCCCCGCAGTCCTCGATGACCTCGAGCATGGGCCGCGGGCCGAGCCGTTCGATTTCCCGCATGTCCAGGCAGGAGCGGAAGAAAGCGCGCACCTTGCGCTGGGCCGCGCCCCCCGGCCCACCCCCAGGCCTCGCCAGCAAGCGCCGCAGGCGCTCCTCGTTCTGCTCGCCGATGGCCGCGATGGTGCCGTAGGTGAGCTTGTCGTCCGGGATGGCGTGGCGCCGCAGCCAGCCGCCGCACGCGAAGGAGTAGAAGTCCTGGCACGGGTCTATGCTGGCGTCCAGGTTGGCGGCCAAGAAACGGGCGGCGCGCGCGAAGGCCTTTCGTTCCGGGCAGCCCTCGGAGCAGGCGGCGCCCCCCGCCGCCCCCGGACCCAGGTACTTGAGAGCCAGCATGGCGGCCAGGATGGCACAAAGGCCCGCGGCGAACACCAGCCCCGACAGCAGGCACACCTCGCGCCGGTTCCAGCGCGGCAGCCCGGCTCGGGCCCCGGTGGCGCTGCGCCCCGCACCCAGCGGGAAGCCGGGGGGCAGCGATGTTCTCCGCGCGCCTCCCCCACCGCACCGGCTCACGTACTTCACCTCCTGGAACTCGTCGTAGTGTGCTGTCATCGAATACGGGGCCTCCATGGCTCCGCTGCCGCCGCCGCTCAGCCCTGGGCGGTCTCTGTTACAGCAGGCTGCTCCGGGCCGCCAGGCTCCCAGCCTGCCTCTGCATGGCCCCTGGGCCGCAGCTGCAGGAAAAGTAGACACAGGTTCAGAAAGGCACTGGGGCCTGACGGGACCCACGAGCCTGACGAGGAAGGGTACAGGCCTAGGTCCAAAGGCTGGAGGCCACCCGGAATCCCCAACAGCGAGTGGGCCTGGGGCCTGGCCTCCCTGCGCCACTCGGGGATGGAGGGAGGGAGAAGGCTCCCAGCGGCCACCAGCCACTGTAGGCACCGTCCGTCCATTGCCGTCCTCTGTCCCTGCACACACGTGCCCGCCGCAGATTGGGGAGGTCCCTGTAATAAAGCGCTGGGCACCGGGCCTGGCATATAGTAGGCCGTCAATGAAAGGCTGTTTTTCTTCTCTGCATTGCTTGCCCCCGACCTGCTACAGCCAAGGCCAGATGGGGGGAGGGGGAAAGCTGAGGCTGGGAAAAGGAGGTGTGGTCAGTGCGGCGTCTATGCGGCCCGTGAAGCCGCCTTCAGCTTTCCGCACTGGAACTAGATGCTCAAGAAGGAGACTCGAGAACCAAACTTTGTCCTCGCGTCTGTCCGCAGAGCCATCCCCGGCCCCGTCCTCTCTATTCAATGGTCAGAACCCTCACCAGTCCCTTCCCCAAGCCTCCGCGCCGGCGCGCCGTCCCACCCAGGATCAGGGAGAAAGCCCCGACGGCCCTAAAAGACCTGGAACCGGTTCCGTCCCGCCTCCTCGCCCCCCGGCCCCTCCCGGCTTCAACAGGTTCTCCCCGGAACCCAAACTTGGACGAAGTTTCATCCCCGGCACAGAGCGAGCTGGCCCGGTGCGCCCCGAGCTCTTGGTGCGCAGCCTCCCGCCGGCGCCGGGCAGTCCGCGGAGCCCGAGAACCGAGCCCGCGAGTCGCCGCCGGAGCCGGAGCCGCGAGGACGCAGACAAAGCCTGGAGGCTCGGCGCGGCGGCGGAGGTGGCTGACGGTGGCCGCGGCGGCGGCGGGCTCGGGTGCCACTTACCCGGCAGGTGCGCGCTCGGGCGGCGTGGAAACAGCGCAGATGGAGCCCGAGCCGGAGCCGGAGCCCGGGCGGAGCGGGGCGGGCGGCCGCTCTCTCCGTGCGCCCGCCGCCTCCTCTGCTGCCGTGCCGCGCTGCGCCGCCCGCCGGCCCCGAGGGAGGGGGCGAGCCGGCGGCTCCACCCTCCTCCGCGCGCCCCCCGCACCCCCTCCTTCTTCCTGCCTGCATCCCGGCTACCTGTCAGCTCGGTGGCAGCTCGGGGGCGGGGAAGGCGGCTGCGGGAACAAGCTCCCAAGGGTCTGGCACCGATTCAGGGCTCGGGAATTCTAGTCCCGAGAGGAATGAGGGTCCCATGTCCCCTCCGATTCGATGCCCGCCCCCCACCCCCACGCAGGGCTGCCTGCCAGACCGTCTGAAAGGGGCTCAAGCTAAAGCTGATGAGACGATGAGCCAGCCCAGCCCAGCCCACAGGACTGGAGGACCGTCCAGGGAGGACTCACGGATAGGCTGTGGGGCGCGCTGAAATAGTGCCGCTGAAATAGTGCCGGTACCGCCTGGACCAGAGCGCTTTCAATCCGGGGGTTTCCCAATCCTCTCCTTTAGCTCCTGTCCATGCCCAGGCCCACCCCTCAGCTCTCCCCACCCCTCCCCACCTCCCCTCCACCACCGCGGGCGCCTGGGTGTTGGTTGGCAGTGATGGGGGAAGAGCTCTGGAGACTGCTACAAGAAGGGGCCACAGGGCCAGACTCAGCACCGCCCCCAAACCTTGGCTGGCCATGGTACCCGCTGGAAGCCCCTGGCCCAGGGGGGAGAAAACGACTGGAAAGTAATGAAAGAACCCACCCTGCAGGAGCCAGCACGGGGGCCTGCGGGCTCTGCCTCAAACAGGCCCTTGGACCTCAGGACCCTGGTATTTGGAGAGGTGAGGGACAGGTCAGGATGGGGGACTATGAATTTATCCACCCACTTCTTTCTTCTGGTTCAATTTGCATTTGTTGTCTGTAGGTTTTTGGCTGTGCTGCATGGCCTATAGGATCTTAGTTCCTGGAGACTGAACCTGTCTCCTGCACAGTGGGAGCATGGAATCTTAACCACTGGACCAGGAGGGAAGTCCCTCAACTTGCTTTTTTAATATGGGACCTCCCTACCACGACTCCCAGCCCCTGGACACGGCCTGCTGCTGCCAGACCTCACTCCACACTGTACCAGCAGGGCCTGGTCCATGCAGGACACACAGAACTCAGGGCTTGTTTCTTGGATGAATGATACCATTTCCGGAGTCTCTGCTTTCTCTGCCCCTAGCTGTCCACCCACTCTGCTTCCATGGTCCCTAGCAGGGCACCCCACAAAGCACCAGTGCTCCCAGGCCTAAGGGTTCCAGCTTGCAGGACTCACCTAAACGGAGTTGGAGACTGCCTGAGACTGCCATGGGGCCCCATCTAATAAAAACCACAGTGAGGCAGGGACTAAAGAACCCACTGTCCAGTCCCCTCCCTGGGGCTGCTTATCAGCCAGGCCCTAAGCGGCCACCTCTGCCCGCATCCTGCCTGTCCCTTGTCTGTCTCTGTGTCCACCTCTGAGCTACCACTCTGGATACTCTCTGTCTCCATCTCTGGCCATCTCACAGTCCTCCTTTGACCCATGAGTTAGTTCTTCTTGGGTACAATTAATTCCACCCAGGGAAGGTGGAGTTATGTAAAATGTGGTGATTCCGTACAGGGGGAGGGGAGGGCAGGACGGTGGTAAAGTGTCTCTTTGTGCTTTTAATCTGCATTTTCCCCTCAACATTTTGTCTCCAGGAGGATAATTTTCCAGCCTTTTCAGGCCCTGATTGGTATCATTTCTCCAGCAATGACAGCTTTTATTTTCCCTGAAATGAATGCCGTGAAATTTCCAAGAAATATAAAAATGGATATTGTCTCAGGGAGCCGACTCTCTTCCGACAGAAAGGCACAAAGGCAAACATGCTTCCCCAGGGACTCTGCCGCTCCAGCCACTGGGGGTTGGGGGACCCAGGCCCTCAGCTCCTCCTCCATCCCCCCTCCCTCCCAGGTCAGCCATAAGACCTCCTTCACAGCCAGCCCTCTTCCAAACGCCCAGCTGCCATTGATCCATTCATCTGCCTCCCAACTGCCCTGGCCCGGCCACCCTGTCTTCCTGGTTCCATCTCTCTCTGTACAGCACCTCACCCCCACCCCCAGCCCAGAGGCTCCCCCAGGCCTGAGCACAGCCACCAGGGCCCACGGGGGCTGAGTGGGGACTGGGCCCAGGACCCTTCAGTCCTAGACCCCCCTGCACTGCCCACCAATAAAGAGTGACCAGCCCTGCCTCCCAGGCACTTCTGTCCTCAGAAAGCAGAACTGAGTGGAGATGAGTGGAGGGTGGTAGGTATCTGGCCTCCGGCTCCCTCACTCTCCTTTTGAGGCTCCCAGTGTCCAGTGTCCCTTCTGGTTGTCTTGTTCTTCTGACTGAGAAGCAGGAGGATGAAAGGACACAGCCAATCCCAGAGGAGGCAGCTGGATGCCTGGTTTCAGGGGTGGGCGGGCAGCAGGGGAGCTGGTTAGAGAGGGAAAAGGAGGGCAGCGCTGGGGGCAGAGGTAGGGGGACCCTCTACCTCTCCCCTTCCCAGATGGCAGGGCATTCCCAGGTCTGGATGCCTGGGGAGGGGTGCAACCCCTTGTGTGCCCACACTGAGGACTCAGGTCTGTTCAGCTTCCACCAAGTCAGGTGCTAAGTGTTTGGCTTCACAGGAGGGCTGCTGACCTGAAGCCAGCCTGGCCCCACCTGGCGCCTATGGTGATCAGACCCATTTCTATACCCATCTGGCTTGTATGTGTGGGGACAGCCTGTGCCTCTGTTTTTGCCCGCTGCTCAAACCTGAACCCCGCAGCCCTTCCTCTGCTCTGGGAGATGCCCCCTGACTCGACCCCACTCCACCAGTCCACTTGCCCCACCGAGAGTGCTGCAGGATCTGTCTCGCCCTGGAAAACATCTCCCCCAACCAGCTTCCCGTCCTCCCAGCCTCCCAGGGCTCATCCCATCTATTATTCACAGCACAGAATGGATTTTTAATTTGAGAAATGAAATGACTCTCCCAAGTGGCCGGGGTGGCAGGGAGGGGGTGGGGAAAGGACGGAGCTGCTGGGCGGCCATCACTGTGTTGACTCAGACTCCTGTTGGAAAGCTGGGTGCCCGCAGCAGCCCTTGGGGGATCCCAAGGGGCCCTGTACCCCACCACCCAGCCTGTGCCTTCATTCTTCCTTCTCTGTTGCTAGCACCTGTCAGTCCTGCCAGAGCTCCCAGTGAGGTCTGCTCCTGATCAGGCAAGGGGCTAGGGAACTTGTTCTCTATTTGCTTTCAGATTCCTGGGTCTGGAGGGACGGCTCTGGGGCTACCTGCCTTGGTCCCTCTCCTCCCCAAACTTACTGGCCCTCACTGAGCTGGGCTCCAGAGTCTCCCCAGTGCTGACCTCCAGCTGAGCTCCTCCGCTAGGTTCCAACAGCCTGCTATACCCAACCCAACCTGGACAGTTGTCCCAGTTTCCCCACTGACCTCTGGTTCCCAGTGCCTCTCCTCACCCCCAGGATAGAACTCATACCTCAGTGGCCCCAAGGCAGTGACCTCTCCCCATCCTTCTCTCCTCTTCTCCTCTCTCTGTCTCCCTACCCCCTACCTCTCTTCCCCCAGTGAGTAGGGGGAAGTAGGTCACTCTGATCTACTGTCATTTCCCAGACCTCTGTTGGGAGACTCTCGCTCACCTCAGAGCCTTAGCACTTGCTGTTCCGGCTGCTGGAACAACCGTCTCCCAGCACCTCTTCCATTGGCCAGTTGCCACTCATCCTTCTTGGGATGCCGGCTTCTCTTCTCTGGTCCTGTGTCACCTCTGTGGCTGGGGGCTTGCCCTCCCTGGACACCCATCACACCACCTGCATCTTAGCCAGCTGTGCAGCCCAGAGTCCGGAACAGATGACATGTTTGATCGTCATGGAAAGTTCTCACACAGCTGTGGTCAGCACATAGAACAACCTATGTGAAGCATCTTCCAGGGCCAGCCTCACCCCAAGGGCAGCGCCCTCACCTACAAACCTGCCCAGACTTTCAGTCCTCACACACCTCTCTCCTTGACTCTGGGGCCCATCAGATGACAGAGAGGGCATTCTTCCCCTCTCCTGTCCTCCCTGTGGTAGGCTTTCATCCCCATTGGGCAGATTCTTCTCTGGCATCACCTGCCAACCTCTAGAGCAGCTTTTTAGCTCACATAACAAAAATGTACAAATGCATTCTTGTTTTTATTTTTTTTTTCAGCTGTGCTGTGTGGCATGTGGGATCTTAGTTCCATGACCAGGGATCGAACTCATGCCCCTCTGCAGTGAAAGCACCCAGTCTTAACTACTGGATCACCAGGATCGCCCCCAAAACATTTTTGCTTTCAAAGACTTAAACTATGAAGTGTATTGGGATCTTCCCTGGTAGCTCAGCTGGTAAAGAATCCACCTGCAATGCAGGAGATCCCAGTTCGATTCCTGGGTCAGGAAGATCTGCTGGAGGAGGGATATGTTATCCACTCCAGTATTCTTGGGCTTCCCTGGTGGCTCAGATGGTAAAGAATTCACCTATCATGCAGGAGACCTGGGTTTGATCCCTGGCTTAGGAAGATCCCCTGGAGAAGGGAATGGCAACTCCCTCCAGTATTCTTGCATGGAGAATCCCTTGGACAGAGGATCCTGGAGGGCTAAAGTCCACAGGGTTGCAAAGAGTCCAGCATAACTTAGCGACTAAACAACAACAACTTGGGACTCATTAAAAGAAAATCTCCTGTAGTCCTCACTCACCGTCTAACAGCATTGCCACCCTCTGCCCAAGTGCCTCGTCCCCAGCCCTCCTGTCCTCCTTTAGGTCCATTTCAAGCTTCCCAGATCCCATTAGTCCCCAGGGTCAAGCAGGTCTCCATCCGAGTAAGGTTGCCTGAGTGCTTCTCCTTGCAAGACAGAGGTGACCCTTGTGGCCACC